CCAGTCGGGTGGAAATCCCTTTCGACTAAATTAGGTCGATACAACTCAAATAGCGAAACCTCTTGTCACCAGGCCATATTACTGAACAGAGTGTGCCATAAAAATGGTAACAACTCTACGGAAGTCCGCAGCTTTCTTTGTTTGTGGAGTTTTTCCCAATCTGCACCTTCCCTTATATTTATTATACACCTTAGCTCACGTATTTGCCCTGGTGCTCTCGCTTCGCCAGTTTCCGAAAAATAGTGAAGACTCGCAATCATCAAGCAACCGTTCCATCTTTGCGCGTGCTCGGTGAGCCATTTTCCGGGATCGCCCGTTGTTTCGAGATTTCTCGCAAGACAGTCTCTCGAACCGCAATGCGTGGGCATGTCGAAAACAAGAATCATGGCGGTCGTCATCTCTCGCTTACAACTCTTTTGCCGAATATAACTGCTTGGGAATCATCAAAACATGTTCAGCGTGGAAGAAATGTTCGGATCCCGAAGTTCACGTATACTCCTCACTACAAGTGATGAGGAAATTGAGAAGGTCATTGTTTCTCGTATTCGTTCCCCTCTTCTATAATGCTGTAATTCGTGCCATAAGAGCGACGATAATCGCTAATTTTAAAGCGTATTGATTGATCGCTTGTACGAAGGGCTGAAGTTCGTCCGTGGGATTGGTCGATCAGCAGGATCGCGAACTTTGATCCCAAGAACCTGTTTAGATTTCTTTCGGCCCCTTAGCAACCTAACATTGAAGAGGAAAACTAAGCACTTAATTAGATCCATCAGAACAAGATGCTCACCACATCGCCCTGCCTTTCATGAGTAGCCAGTTGCATTTGTCTAAGCAAAAATGAGCGGCAGAGATCTAGCAGTAGATTTTTGCGGATCAAAATTTTTGGAATCGACAGCAAAAATGAAAGAACCATTGTTGCCGGTGAATTTCATTGAGCTGTATGTTAATGGTTCACAAGGAAGTGTTACTAAGAGCGATATAAGGAACGTCTTCCGAGAGGCAGTCCCAATAAATATATCAATATACCTGAGGAGTGCGTTCGTGTAGCTTTCCAATAAGAAGGATGCCAAGCGAATTTTCGATAAGGAAGAAGATCTTAAAATCGTCGGACACTGATGAATTTTTTCATGTAAGCCTGCGCAAGAGCTCGTAACAGATGCAACGGCTAAATCCTCAAAGGGTGCGATTGTTGTACGGGATGCTAGTGCAGCGCCGATGAAGAAAATGGCTGTAGCGAAGAAAGCTGAGGATAGTGACGACAGTGATGAAGAGGAGAAGCAGCACGGTATAGGCACATTGTTGCATATACACATAAATGTATCAAAGCTATCAAAAAAACAAATAAAGCTAAAAGAAGACGGAAGAAGGGTAGCAGGGGCCTGTACGACCGGGCGGTGCGGAATCAATACGGGCGGCTCGATTCGAAGACTCGAACATTGACCACCCTTAATGACCAGATCTACATTCATCATGTGGTATTAGATACAAATATATACAATAAAAATCCAGCCAGAGTGCTGCGAATCTGTTTGAAGCCACATTGCTATTCAAACGCGCGATAGTAGAAGAAGCCTCAAAAGTCCCCTCCGAAGACGGAGGCGTTAAAAATTTTTTTCGAGTTTGTAAAAAGTTGCCTTTCAACAATGCTTCCAAGGCTGACGCTTTTTTTGCAATATTAGTCAGTACAGCTTAATTTTCCATAATTTACAAATCCCTTTGACTCATCATTCCAGTCTCTGTTATTCTTATGGGGCGCCTACATAAGCCCTCTCTACTAACAAAACTGATCACCGTTACTGTCTTAATTTCATCGAAACTGTAATTATTTTAAAAAAGGATGCGGCGACAATAAGGCAACGTTTGTAGAATTTTTTTTGATAGATTTACCTCCTGTTGAACTTTATTGATCAATTATTTATTTATTTTTGATTTTTTATTCATATTTCGCAGAAGAGCTGCAGAGGCTACGCGCCCAGGAGCTAAGAGCTGATGTAAGCAATGGATGACTGATTCATTCCAGAGTGGTGCAAAGGAGTGTTTCCCACCCTGTGTTCAGCAGTTTTCGTCTAGGTCGGAGAGGAAAAGGAGCCCAAGGATGGGTTGAGTACTGAATACCTACGTGCAAAGAACAGGGTGCGGCAAAAGTTCTGGCAACGGTAAGCATGATCGTAAAAACGGTCAAATCGATCGATTCATGATACAACTCCAACAGCATTTATCAACAGCTATATAGATCACGAGAATAAGCTTGATCTTGAACTAGCCTCCTTTTGCGCGAATACAGGCTAAAATCTCCTGGGAAATCAGTCGACGGCGGCACGGAGGTAGTCTTCGTCCAAACCCTCCCATGCTTCAAAAAGGGTTGCACGTAGAGCATCCAAACTTTTATGCTTAGTAGAACAGGCTTTTCCCTTGAGAACTGACCACACAGAATACTCCGATGGATTCAGGCCTGGTTTGTTTGGGGGCCAATCGTCCGACGAGATGAGGTCTGGGAAGTGCGTTGCGCACCAGCCGTGTACCACATTGCACCTGTGTGCTGGAGCTGAGCGCAGTTGATGAGTCCATGTCCGGTTGCCAAAATGGGATTCAGCCCAAGGGTGTAACTCCTTCTCCAACATGCCTTTTAGGTAGGTCTTGCTATCTATCCTGACTCCTTTCTCTAAGAAAATCAGGGACATCTTGCCGTCCGATGTGATTGCCTTGACTTCCCGCTGCATTGACTTCCCGCTATCATCCTATCGTTTTGGGTGTCCAGGAATTGATCTGTTGAAAACAGGCATTCGCCAGTGAAAAGGATGTCGCTGTGCCGTGCCAGCGCAAATCGCTTTAAACGCTCCCTAAATCTTTTGAGCCTAGTTTTCTTCATACGCTTAGTTAGCATGTGAGCTTTTCTGATCTTATAAGAATGAAGTCGAAGGTGGTGGTGGTGACGATCCTTCCGACAGATCGAGCAGAAATTCCGACCTCAAGAGCGGTTTATCCTTCGGACCTACGAGGGTGGCGGCGGATTTTCTTTCGAATGATTTTCACAACTTCCTTGTTCGTTACTCTTCGGTCTTCCAATTTTAGGCTTGCTCTCCATAGTTCCTGTCGCCTTGTACGTGTTAACGTCGTTGTACACGGTTCTTAAAGGCACTGTCCACGAAAAAATAGTTTCGAAGATTTGCACATGGTTTGAATTCGACGCCCCCTCTGATGCCATTTGTGCAGGGATGAGGTCGGAAAACGGCTGGATAGGGCACAATAAGGGGCCGGAGAGTTACCACGGTCGCCCTCCGCTCCTCGCTAGGCTGACTACGAAATCTAATTGCCGTTCACCACTTTCGCATTGGAGCGAAGTTGGTGAAAAGTCGATAAGCTGGTTGGCAAATTGCCAGAGACGCAATGTGTTGTCTGCTATTGCAGACAACACATTGCGTCGCCTTCGTGCACTCGCCCAAACACTCCCTAACCGCCGTTATTTCAAGGTGAAACTCGTCCAATCCCCCTTTACAGTTCTTTTTTTGACCCTTGTAATTCTTTCTGTTCATCGTTTTTTGCGCTTTTTTCGTTGTTATCGCTTTATTGTAGAGTAGTTCTATCAATTCCCGTCAAAAAAGGGTACCCTAAATCTATTGCTAACGGTGCCTTTAAGGGAATCTGGAGCTGTTTGAAGATGGTCTTTGCCGTGCATTCAGCCAGATGGAGGTGCAGGATGGAGGGTCGTTGGTCCTTGCTTGTCACTATTCTGTAAAATGGCATATTCAAGAACGGCCAGTTTATGGAATGTATAGAAGAGGACTTGCAGTAAATAGTGGCACAGATCCTGTCGAGATCGAAGGCCTCATTATTCATAGAGAACCTGAAACGGGTCTTTGGCAGACCCCGTAGAGTTGACCAGGCTGGCCATGTGCGACATCACTCCACATTTTCAATGGGCTGAATTAGTTTGGACCCCGTTCGCGATTGCCGAAAAGTCTTATAACCTGCCTTAAGATGTCCGCTAACCTCATGCTCTTCTAGCTTCCAGAAGCACATCTCATGGCAAGAATCGCCAATAAAATGGAAGTCCGTGGAGGTGAAAGTAATCAAATAAAGTGCTCTTTATTATCGTCGATGTTGACAAAGTTTTAGTTTTGTCGCGTACGCTTCTTGAAGGCTGAGTTCGGTCACGATTGAAACATTCGTGGCTGTTCAGTTAGAATTCGAGATGGGCTCCGTCTTCAAGAACGTTCCGCCTCAGAAATGCTTGGTCTCATGCCAGTAATTGCAGGTGGATTTTAGGGGATGTACCCATGTGGGTGTGTGAATTCGCAGGTGTGTGCAAGAGTGTACCATCCAAAGACATTCATTAGCTTGGAAGAAGCTCGTATATGGGGGTGAAAAAGCGGAAGGGGGTATCCGGCCATGCCAACTTAGCCTTCCATCCCTTCGTTGCCGGTTAATTGCTACCAGACTCGTCTGGGAGAATGAAAGCACTGACTTGTACACTGGTTGTTCAATTCATTGTACAGTTCACACATACTTCTAATACGTTACTACAATTCTGAATAGAGGTTGAATGCGGATTTTTTAATTGTTCTTCATGGTCTGGTCTTTTCTTTCTTTCTGTAGAGCTTCTCTGATATTCGATGTTCTTCACAAATGAATCGGCCGAAGATTCTTCATCTAGCAGTCAGATTATTGTTGTCTTACCAGTTTTGCTGACAGAAACGCAACTGGTGTAACGATCAGGGACAGAAAGGCAATTAGAGCAGGTTCCTTAACTCCTTTCCAGAGTGCGCCTAGGTATTCTACTTTCAATCGGAATGGCAGTAGCGTTTGTATGCGTATTGAGCTCGCACAATGAGTTGCAGAGATAAGGTGACATGCAGGAGAAAAAGACGATCTGACAAGTTCCAGACTAGATCCCAGGATTCTACACGTGGCAACGGCGCCCCTTGACACTACACTATCCCTCCACTGAGAGGAAACGGTCGAGGGGTCGTCCGTATTCTTGGTGAGCTAATTGAATGGATCTTTGATAAAATAGAAACATCGTGAACGGGAAAAAAGACCTCACAACGCAAGTGACCGCTGGAAGAGATCTCATTTTCGAATTCGCTTCGAACAGGCAATTTGAAAGGAGCGTAAGGAATCAATGCCTATCTGGTGCCAACTTTGCCGTTCACCATATTCATCAACGTTTAATTTTTCTCTTTCATCGTGAGGCTTCATTCACTCGCTGTAAAATCTTCCAGAATTTTTTTTTTGATCTTTGGTGTACTTTGTGATCATACAACTCGGGAATAAACTAAGTTTGCTTCATTACAGATCTCATGCTTATGAATTTGTACACACCTGCAGATGGGCTGTGTGGCACTCATGTGACATGGGAAGATATCGAGGATGATATGCAACGAGAATTAGACACAAAAGCATCATTTGGATCAAATAAGACTTTCAAGAGCATCGGAGAAGGTTATGTAAGTTGTTAAATAGCGATTGTAGTGCTCAGATTCAGGAGCCGCTTATTTGGAAATAATTGGAATATTCCGTAAACTCGAATTTCAAGCTGGCCCACATTGGGTATCGTAAGAGCTCGCCGCAGACAAAAAAGATTGACAAAACTGAGAAGCAATATTTTGGTGATCAAAAGTCTGGAAGACCTAGAACCTTCTATCTGCCTGAAGCATTTGTTTGTTCCGCTCACTTCACTGGTCCATCGATGATGAAGGCAATCTCGACTCTTCTTTCTATGTAGACGAAAACAAACAATCATACGCCCAGTTTCAAAGGTATTTTACACATAGGCTGATCTGAGCGAGTAGGCGGAAGGAAGCTTTTAGCTGAAGTGCGCTATATCAAGGAAACTTTGTTTGTCAATACGAGACAGGTGGCAGTACTGGGTAGTACTACGTCGTTCCGGGATTATCCCGAGACACATTCCTGCTTTTGAACTATACTTCTGTTTCACATTAAAGACATTTTCTTGAGGGATTTATGTCGAAAATGGTACTCATCGATCCGGACTGGCAGCACATGGACAAAGAATTACCTCCACGATTTGTGGTGAAGGTATTCACTCTGATCTGTTGATTCCAAGACGATGCCAAAGAAGTGTTTTACCTACATGGTGAATTAAGACAAAGTTTGATCAGTACTAAGCACGAAAGTTTTTTTGCAAGCCCATACCCGATTGAGCTCACGGACCTTGTAGCCTACCATAATTTCAGTGTTTTATGGCAAAACCAGATTCCAGATTAATTACACCCACTGTCACAGCTTTAGTGGGAACAGGTATAAGGGTTCCAGTTTTTGTAGTTTATCCAAAACCAGCTCACTATGGAAATGATCAAGATCTGATCCCATTCTAAGTGGAAACCCCATGCTGTAGTCAGGGAACATGCAAGGGCTTCCTAGCTCCGACTCCATAGCCATAAGTCCGGCAACAAAAATTGGTGGGAAAAATACAACAACCACTTATAATTCAATACTTATCTAGAACTACGGCGCCATTCGCTCTTCCATTGATTTTTCGGATAAATTATTTGCTTCTGTAATCTTCTGTCATGAAAATAGTAATTTCAGATTCTCACCCAACTGACTATGCAGAATGCCATTAGTGAAATGAGCGACATGAAGAAAGTTGAAAACCCCATTAGTAACACAGATTTCATGACAGATATGGAGCAGATGCAAAAAGTGGTGAGCTCATTAAAATCGCTTCACACTCATACCGATTTCCTGGAGCCTTAGTTCACATTCGACATGTATTTCATTTATTACGCTTTATATTCATTTATGATGGTTCCACCGTAGCACGATCTCGGGTTGAGGATAGGTGGACACGTGGCCAACCAAAAGCCACCAGTGCTTGCCCGGAGACGTAGGTGGATTCGAGAAGATGAATTCCGTGCTTCTGCCTTGTTAGGTCGTTGGATTTGACTTTGATTTTGATTCAATAAGGGAAACAGGTGACTTCCTCGCTTAGCTTCCGGTTTCCACTAGCTGAGCCCTGAAATATGAAAAACTTGCCTGGCCTTGTTGAGAAACTGAGGATGCCGAGCCGGGATTTGATCCAGCAACAATATGTGCTGTAGTAACCACCACTTGTCTCTACCTTCTCTCAACCTAAAAATCTCAAGCTCGGATGGTGCATGGTAAAAACGAATATATTACCCTCAACATATTTTGGTTCATAGTAATCAAACTACTTTAGTGTCACAATGCCGAAGTAAGGACCTATGAACATCTGATGAAGGTTTCCAATGAGAAGTTGCGCATCCCAAAGGTTTGCTAAATTATTTTCATATAAGCTAGCAAGTTACGACGAAATTTGCCTATTATTTTCTTTTACTTTTGTATATCAGTAAATACCTCTGATAATTTATTTGAACATGATTTTGTGGCCTATAGCGCTTGAACTTATTTTTCCAGTTTTCATTTCTCGATTTTTCGTTAGTATTTATTNAGTTCAATCTCCATACTCAAATGGACGAAACCATCCCCACTGACTTCGCTTTTTCAGATTTACTACATGAAGAAGTTTACAGAAAGCAACCCACTCAAAGGATATATAATCATGGAATACTTCGGTAATTTGAAAGGGGTACCGATATTCGAAAATATTTCCGCAATGGAGGTGAAGCAGGTTGGTAACTAGCAATATACTCATCCGAACACAACTCTTAACGAAAGCCGATTTCGATTATAGTGTCATTTACCCACTCACTCAAGAAAAGAATTATTGGCTCGTGCTTCCTCTTTCCCTTCACCCGCCTTTCCTCCTGGACAACACCTTTTTTGCACTTCTGAAGACTAACATTTCATAACGGTTGCACAGTTATGTAGTGTGAATGTAGTAAAAAAACCGATGATGAGTGCGCTTAGTGTTCCAAGTCTTGAAGCCACAACCCACTAAGCTACATTCACAACTAATCCATTAGGCGGTCTTCAATTTTTTGGTTGTACGAGTCAAATTTTATCTGTGCAGTGAGACCAAAAGTGCCACTTTTTGAACAGAAAGGTTAGTTGGAAGTGGCGCATTTCACACACGCTTGGTCACGGGTTCGAATCCCAGATCCATAGCCATCCACTAATTGGTACCGAATCCGTCTGGGAGGATAAAAGCACTGTCTTGAACATCGGCTGGCCACCGCAAGTCATTGTACAGACCACATACGAATTCAATACGCTACTGAGATTCCTAATAGGAGTCAAATGCGTGAGTACATCCCTCAGGCGGGATCGATGAAGGTCCTAAGACTTTATCATTCAAACTTTAATGTCTTTCTGTCATTGGTATTAAGGTTCTTCGACATAAAGCCGTCATGGAGGCAATTTCACTGAAAATATCTGCTGAAGAGAGAAACAAGTATACAACACCTTTTGGTGGTATCCTCAAACCTATCTTCAAAAAAGAGGTATGCTCCACAAATGCAGTATCAAAAATCACGGTTTCAAGAGTTTGGTCACAGTATGGTTCTTCTGGTGAATCGTAAAGGATGCTACTCCATTCCTGGGATTTTACAGGTCCTAGATCACAAAATGACAATGTTAGCCGCTTTCGGCCGTGGAAAACTCGCGGATAAATGTGAACGTCTAAAAGAAATCCTTGCGGACATAGTGGATTTGGAGTGGGTGGAAAAAATGGCAGAGACGTTTGGTAGGTATTATTTTGATTCTAGTATACTAATTATCGAGAAACATCCGAAAATACCGAAAGCCACAGTATCGCATTATGGTAAAAGAAACTGATACCTTTTGCTCATCAATATTTACGATAATTTATGATAATGTTCGAGCTATATAAGATATTGTAAAAACCCAGAGAATGGGATCGGGCATAACGTCTTTATGTGCGGAAGGGTTGAAAGCCATTTTGTCTCACTCGTTCTTTATTCTTTGCCAGAACTACGGTATAAGGGTAAAGAATAAAGTCTTCAGGCGTTGGTCCATCCCGTCCGAGGTATGTACCCACGCATTTCACTTCCATTCAGAAACTTAGTGGCTTTGAATGCGTCTGTGAATTATACAATGGCTTGCGATAGGCAGCCGAAGTACGAATAAGTGCTTATATCTTCCCAGACGAGTCTGGTAGCAATTAGCCTACCCCAAAAAAATAAAAGATTTGGAAGGATATCCGGGTTTCAAGACTGTTATCGTTAGTATACTTCACCTTCATGTGTGAGCTTTACTTCTGCTTACTTGGTACTACCGAGACCCCATCGCAGGATTACAGGAGAAAACTGGAGTATCCTAAATAAGGACTGAACAAACTGGGGTACCTTGAACAAGCGGCAGACATTTCATGTGCTATCCATCCTCAGTATGCGTAGAAACTTTCCAAAACTCAGCCTCTTTTCCTAGAGCCATACTCAAAGGACATTTCCAGGGATGGAACGCGTTTTGTGTCATGGTGATTTGCATTGCCATAATATTCTGTGGAGACAAAACGGTAACGACCTCGATATGTTGGCTGTCATAGACTACCAGGTGATACAAGCTCCTCGAGGTTAATTCATAGCAACTCTGTCAAGTATTCTTCAGATAGCTCATTTTGGATGTCCAGTAATCGACCTTGCACGGTTACTCTGCGGAAGCTTAAGTGGTGCTGATCGACGGACACATTGGGAGCAACTGTTGGAAGATTTCTACGGCTACCTCAAAAAAGAAGTAGGCGACAACAAGATGCCATACACTCTTGAACAGGTAGAACAACCCCAAAAATCAGAATTCGTCGAGACTCTTTTCAACAGAATCTAATTTGTTTCCGTTCAGCTCAAGAAAGCCTACCGTCAATACTTTCCAACTGGAGCCTTCATGATAGCGACTTTCATAGGACCACATTTCGAATGGGTTCGCAAAAGCTCCAATGAGGACCTGATGGAGGTACCAGAATTCGTTTATGAATGTAACATTTTGACTTGTAACTGTTCACCTGTACAGGGTATCGACGATGTCATGGAAAAAACCGAGTGCCTCCTTGACGACATCTTCTTCTTTTACAATCAAAATATGGAACTCCGAAGAANTGTACTTGAGTTGGCAAAGTGATGTCTCAAAATCTGTTTTCCTGGTTTCACTTGCCTAGCACGTTGTACGTCACTTCAACCAGAGCAGTTTTAGTGTTAATATCGACGATGTGCGTCTAGATCATCTACGATTTGCCGACGACATCATATTGATAATGGAATCTCCAAAACACGCTTCTGAGTTCCGAGTGAGCTTCTGAGTCGCTACAAGGCGTAGATGAAGAAGTGCGATTCCGCCATCAATACTTTGATATCGAAGTGAGAAAGAATCTACATTGATATATACCCCTACACTTTGAGAGGAAGCCATATTGAATACTGGAACGAGCTCGTATACCTCAGGAGCCACCTCAAGCTGAGAAACGACCTAGAATGAGAGTTAGCAAGACGTTCGAGACTGAATAACTGCAATCAACTCTATAAGAAGCATACCAAAGGATACAAAGGCGCAATTTCTAGCGCACCTTTCTATCTCAGCGGTAAGGAAAAAAGACAGGCTTCTGAGCATCTGGGAATTTTTCTTGGCTAGTATTTTATGATAGGACTATAGTATCGGGTGTGAAAGGGTGATATACGGTCAGTGCAGGTCTTGGGTCACTCTGTGACCATACCTTATCTACCAAGGGATTCATGATCAAATGTGAAAACTATCAGAAAAAACAACACAACAAAAGGGCCAACTCAAAGGATCCCTCGCCACTTTGGATGGAGGATGTCCTCTCAAAAAATGCCAAGGCTGCTTCAAAATCGGTTCACAACACTCCATAGGTCAGACGGAGTCTCTGGGTTGTTCTCAGGTAAAATGGAGATCGGCATTGAACCTTCCCTCTAGGAAACTCCACAAAATATTTACCATCAACGTCATCCAACTATTCCGTCAATGGAACCCGTGACCACAAAACATGGGAAGCACCAAAATGAGGACCAAATGCACATCAATGGAATTTCTAAAATGACTTTACTGGCATTAGTTGTTGGCCATAATTTTCGGTTGTGACTCTTATGGAGTGGCGCCTCTGAGCCTTCGACAAGCTACAACTCACTGCAAAATGATGAACTTTCCCTGGATTCTTAGCATCAACGTCATCCAACTATTCCATCAATGGAACCCGTGACCACAAAACATCCCGCAGAAGCTTCCTTGTGATAAGTTCGAAACTAGAATGCAAATCATCGACTACAGTTGTGCTATTTAGAACAAAAATAATATCTCTTATTAGGGGATGGGACTGTTCAAGTGGGCGTGACTAAACATCATCATGAGCTGGCACTTTCCACCTCGTGGGAAGAAGCCTCTCACACTGCGACCCCTTCTACCCGTTTTTTGGAAATGTCTTCGACCCAAAGAGAATAACCATGTTGAACATGAAGTTGCACAGAGAATCTAACAATATCAAGTTCAAGAGCAAGTCGGATGAGAAGACCATCAAGTATCTAAAATGTAATGTAAATAGCCGATATTTTCGTGCGCAAAACAGCTAAGTAGGGTGGAATCGAACTTCCATCGGATGCTTGAAAAGCATTCATGCTAACCATTAGACTATGAGCACTCCCTACGGTAGTGAAGCACAGGAATTTAACAGATCCCATCCTTAGCTCACTTCATCCATTTTCTACGCTGGTTATTGAGCAATTTTCGCCGGGACAGCGCAGAAAAACTGGTTTCTTATGCAGGTAGGAACGACCTCATAAGATATAGGTTTAATCCATACAAGCGTCCTACTCAACATTCTCCACAGCAGTTTTCGAAACAGTTATTTTCTCAGTCAGCAGCTCCAGAATCAGTATAGTATTGAGCAAACAGTAACAACATTTTTCATTGGGGTACTCTGTGACTATAGCTATTTGTGTACTATACGCCAACTGCTACTGAATGATCTATAGAGTACTGCGACATAGAGATGCAGCAAAAGTATGGAACTAGATATGCTTGTTACTCTTAGGAACATTCATCTCCCCCTCATTCAAACTGACGTCGTTCTAATCGGATAGAACTGCAGCGACTCGACAGTTTCGAGGAAACGTCACGCCCGATGACCCAACATTGTGCAATAGATCGTTGGCCTTGCCACTCGCGGTGTTTGATAGCACGAGTGTTCAAATAGCACACATGAGCGAACATTTAGGCACTCAACTCCACCATTTCCTACGGCCTACTATGTTTATCCTTTATTTATGAATTATTGTTCGGTAGAGAGAAATTAAAGTATTTCATTGAGAGAGCGAGAGTCAACAATCATATAAAAAGTGACTGGAGTTGATAAGCATGCTCAAAACAAAAAATAGAAAAGGTTAGGACTATTTCCCTCCGGTTTTCAAATATCCTCTTTTCATGACGATTCACATCCCTACTTTTCGGAGAATAAAGTGAGTAAGAACGCTTTAGGCTTAAGCAGGTGGTTCTGGCCTAGCCAATTTTTTTTGTCAAAAACAAAGCTCATTAACAGTAAACCAGTCAAATACTGCATAGGAAGACAATCTTAGTCGACTCCTTTCCAGGATCCGCCAAAGCAATTGACTTTTAAATATTAGACCTTGCAAATACGTTGGGAAGGTAAAGCGTAACATTCCGCTACTTGGCTCAGTAAGCTTGGACGCTTGGGCCTTACATGGATAAGTGGCGGCCCTTATCACTGTCCCACACCTTGCGACTTGAAAACAATAGAAAGAACAATATCAATACTCTCAGTGCCCTTTCCCATAAGTTTTTTTTCCTTTCTGCTTTCTGGCATAGAATATATGAGAGAAATTAGGAACCTAATAATTAGTCAACCCTATCAATTGCATGGATAAGTAAATAGTAAATAGTAGGTACATAGGTAAATGAATAAGTTTGGAATAAACAAACAAACATTAAATATTTCAGATTCCTCCAGTTATGAATCTATACACACCAGGTGATGGCCTGTTCCAAACTCATGTCACTTTGGAAGACNCGACTTGAAAACAATAAAAAGAACAATATCAATACTCTCAGTGCCCTTTCCCATAAGTTTTTTTTTCCTTTCTGCTTTCTGGCATAGAATATATGAGAGAAATTAGGAACCTAATAATTAGTCAACCCTATCAATTGCATGGATAAGTAAATACATAGTAATTAAGTACGTATGTAGGTGAATGAATAAGTTTGGAATAAACAAACAAACATTAAATATTTCAGATTCCTCCAGTTATGAATCTATACACACCAGGTGATGGCCTGTTCCAAACTCATGTCACTTTGGAAGACATCGAGCAGGACCTACGCAAAGCTTTCGGTACCACAGCGTCGTTCGGTGCAAATACTTCCGTTGAAGATATTGGAAAAAACAAGGTAGGTGATGTTATCAAAACGAGTTAAAGGGCATGAGATATAGGACTTTCGCCTGAAACACATCTCGATGTAATCTCATAGACTACTGTAGTTTACCCACTACAGTACTGAGGCCCCACGTTGTTCTTCTACCTGGTCCCATGCTCTGACAATCATATGTTGAATGAGAGTATGAATATAGTACGATAATCTCACAGAGATGGCTAGTTGTAGGCAAAACTTCGACTTCGGATGGGACTTGAATCCGTACTTATGCTACCTCTTATCCTCGGTAACGCTCTTATCCTCGGTAACGCAAGAGATCTCGCTCGCCAATTAACAACTTGCGGAATATAGTAACACCGCTGTGGCATTTTGCATGCTAGCACTAGGATGGGCTTCTAATACAATGAAGTTACCCTATTCTGTGCTAATAATGTTATCGCTTTTGTTCAATCGAAGGTTCGTGACAGATTGTGTGGCACAGATCAATCTGTTTTTCTTTTCTTGACTGTTGTTCCCAACATTTTCAAAAGTCTGAAAGTGGCTCGTAAAATTAAATGATCGATGATCCCACCGAAAAGAAAATCATCTCGAAAATTACGGAATATTACCAAAAAGTTCAAATTTTATGTTTTGCATCAGTCTCACTCACTGACGGCGACTCACCTACTACGCAAACTTAAAGCCATTGAAATTTCAGGGATACATGTCAAAAATCATCCTTGTTGAACCAAACTGGCAACATTGTGAGAAGGGGCTACCTCAGAAGGTACTAGTAAAGGTATGTTATATGAAACTTCAAGGAACTAGCTCCCATAGTAGCCTTTTGATTCTTGTGGCTTGTTCCCTTAGATTCCAACTCAACTGGTTATGCAGAAATTCCAAGAAGAAGCGGCTCTTGGCAAAAACGAATCAAATAGATTCAAGGATCCTGAATTTAGGTCCAGATTTGAGCTCAACCAAAAACGTGTGAGTTTCTTTGGTATCAGTTGGTTTTCATGAACAGTACATAGCTGCCCTTCAGTCGGTAGAGTTTCGTGAATGTTGACATCTTTCAGTGTCACAACGCTGAGGTAGCCGTATATAAACATCTAGCCAAGATCCCTCATGGAAAACTCTTCTATCCTAAGGTTAGCTATTTTGAAACCTGGACAGTCCAACATTCTCAGAAGGGTTTTCTTTCACTTATCTCATATATACCGATGTTTTGTTTGTGAAACAGCTGCTTTCTTAGATTTATTGCATGCGAAAGTTTACCGAAAGTAATCCAGGAAAGGGATACATAGCAATGGAATTTCTGGAGAACATCAAAGAAGTACAGATTTTCGAAAACATCTCAATAGAGCAAATGAAGCAGGTTAGTTTTAGAAAGTTAGAATTGAACGATGAGATCTCGACCGCGACGAATAGATCCTAGCTGAGTGATAACCCATTTCACTCCCATTCGTACTCCTAGTGAGTCTTGAATCTGTTTATATTCAAACAGTGTTTCGCAGGCCGTCACCCATGTCCCAGCCTCTTATTTCGCGTTCCCAAAAAGGCTGACTAGATCTATTCCCCGAGGCTGACCGAATGCCTACTCCAATCATTCAATTTCAACGGGGAGGCTGTCTTTGCAGACTTGGGGAATTTTTTTTCATATAATAATATAGTACATACTGTAGGCGTCAATCATGAGAAAGACATTTGTAATGAAAAAAGGCTATGAGAAATAGAAATTGAACTACCGAATTGAAGACACTGTGTATAAACCATAGTTGTGATTTGGTAGTTTGTAAATCATCGACAAAATTTAGATCCTGCGCTTCAAAGCTGTTTTTGAAGCGAACTCACTTGAGATATCATCAGAAGACAGGAAGAACTTTGTTGAAAATCCTTTTGAAAATGTGTGGAGCGTGATGTATAAGGATGAGGTAAGACCCTAATTCGTTAGATTTAAAACTTCGTCTTCTACATTTTCCAAAATATGCATGTGTCAGAGGCATAGTCCACAATAAAGATTTATTGGAGATATTCCCTCAGAACGAACCTATGTTCCCCAACAGTTGCACGTGGGTATGTCAAGTCGACAAATGAAATCGACAGGGCTCTGCAAAGACTACAAAACCGCTCCAGCCGCTGGACACGCCCAAAAGTGTTCGTGTTATAACGGCCTTATTGAGGCTGCACCATTCATATTTGAACGTTAGGACGACGACGAGTAGTACGTCTACATGAGAGAAATCCAGACGGTCACGGACACCAAACATTCCGTACAACCCTCTTCTTTATACCTTTTTGAAGAATTACATTTCTCAAAAACCACCGATTTTCATACTTTCTTCGTCATTTTTGCTTTAATCTGCACCATAACTTGCATAAATCCCTTCAAGCTAGATACCTCAGTATTATCTGACTTCCTATTTGATCAGTCCTACTCGAACGGTAACTACACATTCTCCTGATAGATTCAATTATAGCTGATAAGCAATGTGACAACACGGTTCCGCACATTCAATGGTGGAAAATTAGCGAAAAAAGCTGATCGTTTGGCCGAAATTTTTGACAGTATGGTCGATCTCCAGTGGGCCGATCATTTATCCGATAAGCTAGGTAAGAATGGTTTTTTATGAACAGCCTAGTTCACAGCTCTCTGATTTCCTTTCTTCAATCGCCTCACCCCTGACGAGAGTCTCGGAAGCAGGAATTGAAAGAGAAATCAAGAACAGTCCTCTCTAATCCTGTCTAAAAATTCATTTCCCCTAGTCCGCTCTCCTACTAAAAATCAACTCTACAAGTTTCATTCCATTTAGGTATGGAAAGAGTTCTATGTCATGGAGATCTGTGGTCGATGAACATTCTTTGGAAGCAGGATGGGGATCAGCTCAATCTAGCCACGTTAGTGGATTACCAGGTAGGCAGCAGGTATGAGGTCCATAGGAAAGGTAAATCGTACACAAGCAAATT